AGTAACGGCATTGTTTCGATTTCATGCAAGCGATGGACACAGTTCAATCGACCGCTCAGGTGGACAAAAGGTCTTGGACTTCATGCCGCGTCTCATGACAGCCTGCGGGAGAGACGTCGTTGCGTACGAGATTCAGGGAAAGGGTATGTCAGCCCAAAGTATGGCTGCGCCCTTTGCCCAGTACATCCAGCAGCTCCAGCGTAGCTACTTGGACTTGGTGAATTAGGGTGCATTCCGATCATGTCATACATATTAATAACTTCTAGTAGTTGGATGTTTAGCGAAATAGGTGAGGCTTCTTTTGCTCACTTCCACCACTTCAACCTGTACATATACCTCTCAGCATCTCTCATCTATCTAAATCCAACCAACAAATGAAAAAGGTCACCTATTTTGCTTATTGTGTGCTTGGATCTTTCTCTCATCTCGGCATCTCTTTCAACCTCCCCCGGATTACCCCCAGGCGATGTTGGGGCCGCTTACCTCATGAGTTCCGACCAGCTCTTGGAGCGCCCGGAGCTCCAGGATCTACTCCAAAGCCCCGAAGGCCTTGCGGTCCGAGGCACCCGGGACCTGGGACTCGTCCGTCGCTTCCCAGACGAAATGGAAGGCCAAAATATGCCAAAATCGAAGTTGAGAGGACTGAAGTGAAGCTGTGTTGCAGATCACTGGCATGCAACGTGCAAGGGGGAGTGCTTCCGGGGTGTTTTGATTGTTGAACTTGAGCCCAAGCACCTTGGCAGGGCACGAGAGGTCAAAACCAAAACCTGGCAATTGTAGGTGATATGCCGCCTTTGCCGCACTGGCTGACAGTGGGTGGAGCTGGTGCGAAGACGCTGTTGCAGCCTGGCCAAGCAAGGGTCTTTTCAGCTTGAGCCTCGAGTCTGGCAAGGTCGTACCACATATCATCTGGCAAAGGACCAAGAAGACAAGGGGCCCCGGAAGTAATTTTGGTGACTTTTGCAGTCTGATTTATGGTCGGGAAACTATGCACTTAACGCAGAGTATCCTTGACAAAGTTAATGTGTTCCAACTTCGAGGGTTAAGATCTATACTAAACAACTTTTGTGAACCGAATAACAGCCAATGACTATGTGACTGACTATGTGTTAAGAGATGTTAAGAGGCTTCCGAACAAGCTGGCCAAGAAGTGAAATGGTTTTCGGATCCTCTTTTGAACAAACGAGTTGCCCTGTCGGGCCACGGGCCACACTGTTAGATCTCCAGCTTCGGACCCTTTGCGACAAGGCACGTATGTTCCGAATTCAGGGGACGGTTATCCTATAGGCAAAAGAAGGGTCAGGGCACAACAATGGCACCACTTTACCCATAGATATGCTTGGAAACACTTTTCGAACGGACGAACTGATTATGACAGCACGGACCAGCAGAACAGACATTTCTACCAAATGGCTCTCGCACGAATCTTTTAAGACGTCGCAGTGCCGGCCCACGGACGCTTTAGCGCCCACAGCCAGAAAAAGAACTTTTGCGTGGTTTTCCAAATCTTTGACTTTTGATAGTGTATTCTGTATTCTGCGCGCCTTCCATATTTGCATGCCGAGGAAGCGCGATCCTGTTGTTACGGCCTCCTGGACGATGCTGGTGCTAGGCCGGGAGGGGTGGTATGTTTGCAGTTCTTCTTGTGCTTTCTTTCAAAGACCTATTTCCTATAATCACATAGCTGTTTGGAGCCAACATCCCTGTCCAATGTGCTCAAGATCAACAACACTTATATATTCTTTGCAACAACCGGCCCAGGGGTCCCAGTTGAAGGGACAAACTTGACACCTCCGATGCTCAAATGTCCCAGGCAGCGCCCGCTGGTCCCTGCTGCCGCCCGGCAGCAGCCCAAGCTTAGCTGGTCCCCCAGATCGCTGGGGAGATACGCGCTCAGAGGAGACTCTGGGATGTCAGGGAAGCGACAACTTGTTGGATGGTTGATGGGTGTGTGAATGTGGACCTGCTCATAATGTACTATATGATATGATATGATTATATGATACTTGCTTCTACTCTGACGGTGCGAGTTCGTGTAATCCTCCAATGAAAGTGCTAAGAAACCAACCCAAAGATCTCCCATATTTAAGGAAGCAACGCATTTCTTGGATCCGGAATCGCATTCATTTTAAATTTTGCACACTGTCAAATCCTCCTTATGAGAATTGGGGTTTCTTTCTCCGGCCTCCATTTGCCCTCAAGGAGGATGCCTTCAACCGAGAATGGCCAGAGGTTTGGACCGCTACGCAAGAGATGGGCGAGGCAAGAGCATAGAGAATCTGGCAGCACACCATAGTACTTTGGATGTATTTGAGAGTTATATTATATTATACATTATTATACATTCATATCATCTTGTATTAAGTTATATAATATTGTGATATTGTTGTATCAATATGTATACAGTAAATGTGTTTTCGTGATTGGTGCTTGTGCTGCGCGAAATTATCAACCTGCAATACAAATCTATACAACATTCGGCTGATAATAGAGCTGAGATGTTTGGATGACACAGACTTCGCAGGTTTTGGTGGTGCCACCTGGCTGGTGGTATCAAATGCTGCTGGAAGATAGGGTGTTGGCAATCAGTGCCCAGTCGCTTGGTCGAGTTGCACAAAGCGGGCGTGAGCTGTGAAGCTTGACATTCCCAAGCAGATGGATCTCAGCTTGACCGCTCAAGCAAATGTAGTTCTTAGCACACAGCTACTTACTTAGTTGTTTGCAGGCTTTGGATGTGCAAATACGATGATATGCTCAACGTTGCTATCATGCCCATGCAGGGAATCAGCGGAACAAGGGAACGAGTTCAAACTGCCAGGGTGTTGATTTTTGGCACCGCTAGTTTGTCAGCTTCGGCATGTCTTCCAATACGTAACCAATGTAACAAGTGTATTTACTTTCCCAAGTCTTATCTTACAAACTAATCCCCTTTTTTGCATCCCAACAAAATGATTGAAGGTTTTGCCAGTTACATGGATGATCGCCTGCCGGCTGTTTGGCTCACAGATGCTCGCACTCACAAGCCGGTTTTGAACAATCTTCGGCCAGTGCTTGAATCATGGCAGGGAGACTAGCCTTCATTGCAGCGTGTCTTGGTGCTGTGGCTTTGCGTTGTCACTTTGGACGCTCCATGGTCATGCCTTTTTGCGGGCATCGTGTCTCCACGCCTACATGCTTCAAGGTTCGAAGAGGAGAAGCAGTGCTTCAAAGAGTTGGCAAGGATGACATCCTAAATTTTTTGAGACTGCTTTATGCAAGAATTTCTGCAAGCATCCCAGTGGGCACAGGTGCAGCAGCAGACATGGGCACAAGCAGGTCAGACATCCTTGATGGGGCATCTGCAGGGGGCAATACCTTCGATGTCTTTAAAATGCGAGAGCATCCTGATGTGTGCACAATGAGGGTGGTCGACCGCAAAGCTCTTGACCAGATACTTGAGGGTCTAGCACATGATGATAAGAGTGGCAATTTTGCGGCATGGGTCCAGAAACAACGGATGCGTCTTCGTGTCAGCACTAATTTCCAAAGTGGACCCTCAATACCAATTGACGGGTAAACACTATCGAGTGTTTCTTTCTATCTGTCGTGCCATGCAACGTGTTTCCGGAGCTCGAGGACACGACCCTTGTCGTAACAACTATCCGTGCACGTGCAGAGTTCGAATTGGAAGCATTTCGGGCACTTCGCAGAGAAAAATTTGAAACAAGAAAAGGGTGGTGGATTTGGCGATCAGAGCAAAAGGCAGAAAGCTTTGTGGATCTTGAGCAATCCTCAGCGCTTGATCCCAAGTGTTTGAAAAACATGTTTTTGGAGTTTCTGGGCGCTCGTGGATTGCAGTTCCCGAGTCTGCCGTAAAGCAATTGTTGCGAATCTCGGATGTTCGAAGCAATATAAAGCAACAAAAAGCAGTCGGTTCTCTGGAGCGGTGGGCCTATCCCTTCAAGTTTGCATGCTCTCCAATACTCAATAGTCCTGGAGGTTCATGAGCGTAGCAGCCAGTTTCTTTGCAGCGTCTTGGGGAAGCTGGGGAAATCCTTATATAAATGGATTTAAATGGCTAAGAGGCCTTTGTAAGTTTCAACCATCCTCAATAGAGCCTTCCTATTTAAATTTGCCCTACTTGCTGCATTCCCTAATAATTTTACACCAAGATGGCATCTCGAGGCAAAATTATGACCTCCCAGGCCCCAGGCCCGAACGTCACGGCGCCACACGAAACGCGTGAAACGCGGTGCGAGGTTCCTGGCGAAGGAACACCAGCCCTTGGTGGCCAAAGAGCTGCCAAGCTTGGGGTGTCTTGGTTCTGATTGAGCTTTGGAGCCGTTTGAGCCATGGGCGGTGAGGGAATCCGAGAGCGGTTTGTATTCATTTTGACTTGTGGTTGCATTTCACTTAGAGTCGGGAGAGGCGCAGTGAACACAGGAACAAATACCTAAAACATTCTGGTTCAGGGTGTTTTGGGCAACAGTCTCAGGCAACCCTGAACATGCATCCTGTCACAGCCATCACAGCGTGGCTTTGGAAAGCGACCTTCAAGCTTGGCACTTTTTTGTTGATTTTGGATATCTGAAACTTGTGGTTCTTCGCGGCCAGTTATGTACACTTTCCGAAGCGGTGATAGATTTGTTTTTGAAAGGACAACAACTCTTATATAACGGTTTCTAAAGGACTCCTTGTGTCGTAGCCACAGATCCTCAACAGCAAGGGTCATTCGATCATGGTTTCCCTTATATAAATTAAAATAGATCTCTCTATATATGCACTCGTATATATATGTCGAAACACCGGTAGCCGACCGACTCCAGTCGATGAAAAACCCATCGGGCGATCCTTTTCAGCTCCAGCCGATGAATGTCCCTGCGGATACGACGATCGATATGCTTGCACCTGGAAGGAAGACATGGTTGCGGCACTCATGGAAGTCAACACGGCTTTTAAACTATAAAAAGTTCGAACCAAGGCTTCTCTTGACAAGGCTTCAACTCTTACGAATTCAATCTCTACTTATAGGTGCGAGGCACATCGGTGCCGGGGATCTTTGGTCCCTCCCAAGCGGCATCTTCTGCTGCATCACGTTCGGCGATGAAACGGCTCAAATAATTTGAAAGATCAAGCAACAGGCCTGACGCTGATCGCTGACGTGCCGTTACCCACTTTACATATGACTTGGCTCGGTCTTCGGGTGAGCATGCCAAATCATGGTAAGTCATGTTCAAACCCCATTGGTGCATGTCCATCACATCCGGAGGCAACGTTGGCAGCATACTTGAGCTCAAATCTGAACCTGGCATCGGAGGTGGAATTCCTTCGGTGGCAGCATAGGATCCTTCCATGGAACCTGAGGCCTTGAACTTGGGATGTGCTGATGGACCATATCCACGTTCCTTCTTCGGTTGCGGCGAGGCTGCTGACAACTCCTCTCGACGTTTGGAGGCGTCAGTCATCGATCCAGAGAAGGGAATCAAGCTGAAACCTGAGTCTGGGTCAGCAGCTCCGGAAGCAATACCTGGTGCATCGATTGGCAGGGATGGCATCATCTGGTCTGACGACGCCTTGGCCATCAGATAGCGAAGCTGTGCTGCTTCATCGGGAGTGAGCGGCATTTCGGTATGCCTTTCAAGAAACAAATGCGGCGCGTGCTCTTGATCACAAAAGGCTAAAATAGAAAACGACTAGTGATCAGGACGACAGCTAAGGCTGCCACCCTGTCCCTGATCTGAATAACGAACTTCTTTCAAGACCGATCACAGCAAAACAATTGGACAACACACTCGAAACATTGTGACACGGCTGCATGCTATGACAAAACTGCTCAGCTATTTACTGATGCAAGAAAACGGATAACACAAGAGCTTCAAGACACAGTATTCCCTGTAGTCTACCGATGACTACCTTTCTTACTGCAAACTCTATGCTCTTAAACAACAACTATAGTTGCACTGAATTATCCATGACGTCGGCTTTCAAGCTTTTCCTTCGTTCGCGTTCTTCAGCTTGTTGTCTGAGAACCGTGTCCTCTGGAGAAATCTGATATGTCCCTTGACGGACACAGGATCGAAGCAAGTCAATTGGCTCTTGGCTGTCTTTGGTCAAGCCATCTGCCAACATCCACTTCGTGGGAAGCCATCGAATGCTACCTCCTGTCAACTGAAGAGATTCCCGAAGTATCACTATATCAATACATGTTCTTCGATCTTCTATTGACGTTGGTGATGAGGGGGAAATCAGGTGGTCATACAATGACTTACAATCTGTGGCCAGGATGGGTGATCGTTTCAATACAAGGACTGGTGGTCTCTTCTGCAACAGGTCTCGTGCGTCTCTTGCCTTGAAAGGGCCATCCAAGGTCTCTGAAAGGAGGAGTGACAGCCATTCTGCCGTTCCACTGGCAGTTGACATGGCTTGGCTTTCACCTCCTAAGGTGGAACTCACGGCCCTTGGCAACTTATAGCTTTTCCAAGCCACTGGCGTCCATGGAGACTCCTTGCCGTCATGCAACTTCTTATGAACAAAAGCCAAAACATAACCAGCTTGTGTGTGGCTACCTACGTTGGCGAACGCTGCATCGCTATGACAGCATATTGTCAGGGACTCAGGTTCAATGGATCTAAAACGAATTTTGAGGTCCTTGAATTGTTTGGCCCTTCGAATAGTGTTGTTCGCACTTCTGAGATGTTGGACGGTCGGTTTAGGTAGGCCCTGTTGACACATGCTTGTTTGGCATGACAAGTCGGGACGGCTTTGCGATGACAACCAGTTAAGGCTACCGTTGATTGCTCGGAGGGCCCTAATTTGTTGTTCATTGAGCAACTGATTGGAGGAAACACCTTTGGGGGTGTGAGCTGGTCTCAAACCCTCTGCAAAACTTGCCTGTGACATCTCAATGTCAAACGTCTTTGGGCATTGATCATACATGGCACCACAAAATTCACCATTGGATATCCTCCACTTCCGGTATGGGAACCTGGCTTTCAGTTTCTCTAAGGACTTTTCAAACAGGGGTCCCTCACCTCCTACTGCGGTGTCGTCGACATGAACGCCGAGCACTCCCAGCAAGCTATTGCTGTTGGGACAACGCAGTGTGTACAGGCATGGATCGAGGATCGATCGGGTCCAACCTGCCTGAGTTGCTTCACGATCGAAGGTGTTATGCCAAGCTCTTGAAGCATCGTTCTGTCCGTATAGGTTTCCGACTACTTCGATGACACAATCTTCTGGAACTCCAGGGATGCCTCCTGGTGGCATTTTTGCGTAAAGAGGTCTGAACTTGTCTGGGAGTTCGCCTGCTTCCAAGAATGCGCCCTTAATATCGCCTAGCTGTAGGACCCACTTATGAGAGGCAATGATCTGCATCAGAACCATCCTACCTAGCTGACTGAGGGTTGGTGATTGAAGCAACCCAGACGCAGCCTTTTCTTCCAAGTCAGGATCTAAATGTCCCTGAAGGACCCATCGACTCTTGATTTTGAAAGTGGATGGATCACTTGGATCAACGCTGACTCCGTCTTGTGTTGCTTTTCTGATGATCACGAACCTCGATCCGATGAAACGGTCTGCGTGCTCGGCCCGGATGAGTCTAGCCTTTTTACCAAAGTGCAAACGGATTGCTCCCTTGTCGGAAATCGTGTTCCATTCTTCTCCCTTAGACAAGTTAACTAGTTTCTGCAACTCTGGGGGATTGTTTGAAGGGGACAACTCTTTACTCAGTTTCTTCTGGATGTGTGCGGCAATGAGTGTCTCGATGCTTTCTTCGAGATGCATGTCACACTTCCTGTACAGACAAGACTTCATCGTACGCTTCGGCGCGTGGTCGAGCAGCGGACGACTCGGCCGTCGTGTTCGGGTCTGGAGACAGGGCTCTTTTCTGTCCATGTACCATGTTCTGATCTTCTTTGGTTTCTGTGGCGTCCTGAAGCAGTTGAGAGTTGAGGGAGCACTTCTCTCATGACTTCTACGAAATCGTCCTGTCTCATTGCAGGCGGTCTGTAGAGAGCAGGAGCGCCGGACTTCTGATCTACCCTCCGTCGTATTGGACCATATGAGCTTGGTGCACTAGTCAACCCTTCAGGTGACGGTGTTTCAGCAGAGACTGAGGCATGTGTCTCTTGAGTTCGTGCTGGCTCACATGTCATGGGACCTGGTACAGCAGAGGCATCGGAAGTCTGTGCTTCGGACTGCTCGTGATCAGGCGACATGTTTGGCTGCTGTGCTGGGGGTGTGTCTCCTTTATCCGAGTCTGATTTCACTGATTGATCTTCGGAGGGATAGTGTCCTGGAACCAAGTCAACGAACTGATGGCTTTTAAAGGTACCTCCTTCCACAAGATCTCGAATACCTAACAGCTCTGCTTGAGGGGTTGAAATCAAGACTCGTTCTTCGGTGGTCGCTGGCCTCATTTGTTCAGGCGCACACCGGAAGATGTGACGACGATGAGCTACCACATAATTCTTCCCGACCTGACCTATCACAATTGCAGTACCATACCAACGTCCACCTTGTTGAACCACACCTTGACCCATCACTTTCTGTTGTCGCCAATAGCACACGAGATCGCCTGGTTGATACGACAGCATGGCACGAGGTCGAGCAGCCAAGGCCTGTCTCAAGGCTTTGTCATCTTGCATGGCAACAACAGCCTGTCTGTACGAATGGCTTGAGACTTGGCGATGGCGGAATCGTCAAGACCGGCGGTGCCTGGTACGACATGCAGCGGTTCACTCAACAAGTCACCTGGAATGTCTGGGTTCTTTCCAAACACATGTTGATGGGGAGTGTAACCATAATTTTGAATCATTTGGTTCTTTACATGAGCATGTCGAACACAAGCTTCCCATTCTTCTCGAGTGGTTGGTGAATGTTCTAGGATTACCTTCTCAAGAACTTTGGAAAACCACCCGCCGTGAACCTCTGTCCTGCCAAGCTGCCAGTGCGCTTCTGCTGGAATTGTTCGGACCACGATGCCCTGATCATCAAGGTACGATTGCATGGCTTCTCCTAGATTTGTTTGTGCACTATCCATGACGACTTCTCTAGGGATTCCTGCCCATTGGATCCAGTGACTATCGAACAGTTGTCGGAGGAGACATGAGGTTTCCCGTTCGAAGAAAGGAATCATCTGTTGGTAACAGGACCCTTGACAAACAATGTTTAGAGCTTTGACCTTCTGATTGACCTGCCAGCCTGGTTGCTATTTTACATCTATTCCTACTGACACATTGAACTCACAGGAGCGTGTCAGTTTGGCAGGCAATGGCACATGTGGTCGAACTTGGGACTTGCACAGGTCGCATTCCAACGTCTTGGCCATCTCAATTGCTTTGTCGGACGCAGATCCATGTCGGAGGATGCGAACCAGATCTTTAGTGCTACAGTGGCCGAGATTCTTGTGCAGTCGATGCAGGGCTCGTTTGATGGCTTCTTCATCCTCCCCTTGGATCTCTTCACGACTCACAAGTACTTCATGAACTTCCATGGGGCAATCATGAATCATGCCTAATCTGCACGAGGTGCACCTGTTGGGCACGTTCAAAGGCCGGCACAGTCTTCAGAACAGCTTGTACAAATGCCGGTGTGTATTGTGCAACATATTGGCTAATCGATCCCACTTCAGCATGTGTTCCCGCCACCACGTCGTGACAAGTGTGATGGGGGTCTCTCTTTCCAGGACACGTGAGGCCTAGGGTTGTCATTGATTGATGACTCACAAGCAACCTGGTGGCCTTTCGGATGTATTGTTTGCTGTGGGGAAGTCTTAACCCAAACCTACACATGTGGCACTTGACATGGAAGTACTTGTTCAACAAACATTGCATCTCTTCATAGGTCCATGTCTTAGCTCCTAATGGATGTTCGAACAAGGCTTGTTTCCCGGCCTGTACTTGTTGCTCAAACAGGTCGCAACAGTAGCGAATGAACAACCGACTCAATCGACGCTTTTTCAAACACTCCATTGGATCCATGGTACAAGCATTCAGGTTGAACCAACCACCTTCGTACGTACATGGAGGGCACAGTACCAAAAGATCTGGAGGATGCTGTTTGAGGAACTGGTTTCTTCTCGGCATTGGGCTTTTGAGAAATCATACCCGGTTTTGAGATCACATGACATGGCAAAACCGCCTACTGCTTCGATGGACGGAGCGAAACGAGGAGGGCTGAAAATCTCAGCCAACATGAAACGCTTCCCCTGCACAAAGGAGCCGACTCGACTTGGTGCCTGCTTGATTTGTGCCGTCAACTGTCGGCACACTTGAACTGGCAGGCTCTCGATCGTGTTGACGTGTTCCTGAGGCATAAACACGAAGTCGGTTCGAGTTCTGCGAACGTCTTGCGGCAAAGGTTGGATATAATATCTCTTATCTTTGCTATGATCGATAGTTTGATCGCTCACTATCCTACCGGTGTCAAGATCATGGATGGTCCTGTGGATGACTGTGTGCCAAAAAGGGGGCTGTTTGCCCGTCACTGGCGTTAAGGTCAAACCTTCATCCACACGAGACCAAACAGACGACCCTGGATGTCCTGTGTCAGCGGAGTCTTGGGCCTGTTCTTCAGGATCTAAGGCGGTCTCTGGCATGGAAGGTGCGATTGTAGGCTCATGATCACAGCAACTGTTGGCTTCCTGAGAGGCCATAACTTCCGAGAACTGCACTTCCTTGCCCTTGGTTTCCTCGAGCAAGACTCGAATCATGAACTGTCCAGCGGAATTGGTGTGGAGAGGCACCTGCACTGCATCGTCAAATATGGTCATGGTGCCTTGTCCGAAGGCCAGTGTTGCCTTGAGTTTCTGAAGAGCTGCGCGCGAGATCAGCAATGGGGCTTGTCCTTGCACGATGGCTGCACGAATGGATCCAGACTTGCCAGGGATTCGAACTGGCATGGCCAGCACCTCAGTGGAGGTCTCTTTTTCACCATTGCCATACCTGAAGTAGTTGATCTCAGGCTCAGGCTCAGGGCATGACATGCCGTGTTGCTGCCACACTTGCTTGAACTTGGCAAGTGTCTCACGGCCGACAATAGTGCGGCCGCATCCTGAATCGGTCACCCCGAAACCAGGGCTTGAAACCAGCAGAGTTTCGCGCACGGTCCAATCAGGAATCGAGGAATCTGTTGCTCGCTTCGTGGAACGCAGGATGTCAAGCGGCGACCAACTTGCAAAATGCTGTGCCATAGCAACAAACTGCTCATCATCTTCTTGGACGGGTTGTACCAGGGCTGCACCAGTCTCTGAGGAGCCCTTCGAGGAAGAGGACTGCTTGCCTTTGCCTTTTCCTTTTCGACATTCCTTGGACCAGTGTCCCAATTGTCCACAGCGATGGCAGCGTGTCTTTTTCTTCAACTCTTCAACTTCTACACGAAAACTTCTTCTGAGCTCATTGGACTTGGCGGCGTTCGAAGAAAAGTTGCGAGCTTTCTGCAACCTCGACAGCTCTTGCCGTCGATCTTTCCAGCTGATCGCCAATGCTTCTGCGACCTCGGCCTCTTCATAGACTTCTTCTTCAAGAGCCTCGTCTTGCTGATACTCAGCAAGAAATTGTTCAACATCGTTGAAGTCGTCGACGAGGTCGGAGATCTCAGAAACGGGCTCTCCTACGATGGATTCTCCCAGAATTGCAACGCCAGCTATTTGCTTCTTCTTCATCACGAACTCGGGGTAGCAGCTGCGCATTGCTTTGCCGATCTCCTCTCGCTTCATGACCCCTAAGGATCGAGCGACGACCACAGCTTTTTGTTCGTCGTTGAGCCCACTCCTGTGGAGGATCAGCCATCATCCTCGAGCCTCCTCAGGAAACGTGACATTCGTTTTGCGAGCGCATCGATCGAACAACTCAGTGGCACGGCTAATCCAGGCTTTGAGTGTTTCACCTTCGGCGGCACGAAGATTGAAGATCTCGGTCAGCACCTCCGACATCTCATCGGTGACTTCTTTCTGAGGGAATCGCTGATCCAGAAGATCGAACAGAACTTTCTCACCGCCTTCTTTCTGGAATGCGCTAGGATCCAGGTGTTCTACACACTCCAAAGCCTTGCCACTCAAGAGAGTGAAAGCATAGGCCCCTCGGGCCTCCTTGGGCATTTTGTCCAGCGTCATCATCTTCGACTGGACCCATGCTTTCCACCGACGGTAGTCCTTGTGGTCTTCGGACTCGCCAGAGAAAAACTTCAGACCACCTTGGTCTTGACTTGCAGCGGCACTCATGGCGGCGCCGAGTTCCTACTCGGAGCCTCGACCGTTTTGGCCGAGGCTCCGCTACCAATGTCGAAACACCGGTAGCCGACCGACTCCAGTCGATCAAAAACCCATCGGGCGATCCTTTTCAGCTCCAGCCGATGAATGTCCCTGCGGATACGACGATCGATATGCTTGCACCTGGAAGGAAGACATGGTTGCGGCACTCATGGAAGTCAACATATATATATATATATACATAATCAGAGGGGCTTGCAAAAATGACTCTCACTTTTTTTTGACTCTCAGTTTTCTTGTTTCTGATGCTAATGATTTTGATTCTGATACTAAAGAAGAGGGGGAGGAAGAAGATGACGCGTATTATTTTGCTTTTGATACTAA